TAATTTTTTGGTCTAAGTACATTTGAAATTCTGGGTGTTACATGGTGCAATGGTTAATTAGCTCACCGGTCGTGAATTCGTACCCACGTCAAGACAACCTGACATCATGCAGTAACGATTTCACTTGAAAATAAGATTAAAAATATGTTTCCAATTGAAAATCTGCGATTTCTATTTCCATGCAATATGAACGTTGTCAGAATATAAAGTACGATGAAAGTTTCATATTGATTAAAGAAAATTTAAAAAAAGTTTTGACTGTAATGTTAGTTTTAAAACTTATTTCAGTTCCCATTCAAAATACTGAACGACATAATTTTAAATTACTTTTGCTTATTGGAATTCGAATAATATAAAGTAAAATTTATATTACTCTGCAATGGCAGCAGAGTTAAAATATGGGAAAAATAATTTTATTTTGATTAATTAAATTTATTACACTTACTAAAGAATCGTGAATAATGCATTAATATTAAAGCTTTTGTGATTTGCATTAAAATAATCCAAATGACCACCACAGCAACATTCATAATCAACATAAAATGTATCCATTTATATGCTAATTCTTCTAACATTACTATTAGTAGTATTAATTATGATTACTGTATATATATATATATATATATATATATATATATATATATTAACATGTATATATATATATATATATATATATATATATATTAACATGTATATATATATATATATATATATATATGTGTGTGCGTGTGTGTACAAATATATAATTATTAAAGCAGAAAATAATGCCATCTAGCTCACAAAATTAATGATTGAGCAATTTGACTTCAAACAAAAGTATCTCCCGAGACGAAACAAAATGCTCAAGCAAACTGAAGACAAATAGAAAATGTACGACGCGAAATTTCAATTTTATTTCCTTTCGAAGTAACTTTGTACAACATTCATTATATCATTTGACATTCGAGAATATTAACAAACTCTAGAAGTCCTTCAAGTTCTATGTAAAGAGAAATTTTTTTTTTTTTTTTTTTTTTTTTATTGGCCTCGCTTACTCGAGCATTTAGCCACCTACATTATTCTATACAGTCATATACAATCTTCAATTTTATACTATCTTCTTCTTCATATAATCCTATTCTTCTTCTATACTTCTTAACTAACTTATCTTCATTCTTCTTTTACTATCTTCTCACTTCATCTTCTAACCACTATTTCTTCTTTCTTCTATACTTCTCATTACTTCTTACTTCAATTCATTTTTAAATTCTAATTATCTAATTTTTATATTTAACATACATATCTTATTAGTACAATTCATAATTCTATTATTATTCCAACTAGTTAATATTTTTTCAAATTCTGGCCGGAGATTCGAACTCGGAACCTCCAGCATGTGAATCGGGAACGCTACTCTTGAGCTAATCCCGCCACAGAGAAAATTTCATTCTGCCACTTTTTCAATAGTTTATATCTAAGCAAAGTGATATATTTGCCTATATATACATAAGTATATATAGTTTTCTTTTTAAATTATCATAAAGTATACGAGATAATATTAACTTAAAAAACATTTATTAGAGTCAGATGTCTTTTTTTAATCATTGTGAATCCTTTAGCAATATGATAGATACTAAGGATATACAGAAAAATAATATACGGCCAATGAAAATTCCAACTTTATCATCATAAAAAGTTACGGCTGATAAAAAAAACAGGTAAAAAAGAAGATTAAAAAAAAGTTAAAAAAAAGAAAAAGTGTGCAACTAATACGCGAATAATTTGCCTACATGTTGGAGTTTCTTGAATATTCAGAAACTTAGATACATCTTATTGCAAAGATTTTGTTCGTTTTTCTGACACATGTTTCATTATTAAATTAATTAAAAAAAATATCGATTTAGAATCATATAGCCTTTGTAATTGCCACCTAATTTAAATTACGAAATTAATTATTTGAAAAATCGAAAAGAAATTTACTAAAAAAATAATTCATTTATTGCAAGCAAACGTAAGAATATTTAAATAAACTGTAAATATAATTATTTTATGGTTAATAAAAGTAGCAAAGAATTTCGTATTAATTGGACAGTGGTCAAAATCATTATTACATATCATTGGAATAATGTCGATAGAATATTAAAAATTTCAATTCTTTGACTGAATAAGTGCACAGAATCTAGACTTTTTTTAAATTTATTTCGAATGCAATTTAGGATTATTATAAATACATAAGTTCTAATCTTTATGGTTACTGAAAAAAGGACATCTTTGATGACGGTTTAGTCAGAAAATTATTTTTAGAATTTACATTATTCTTTTTGACACTATATTTAGAATGATTTATATATTTCAATAAAATTGTATGTACATAAGATATAAAATCCACCATGAATGCGAAGGATATATCGCGCAAAAGCATCTGTGAAAAAGATTCATTCTCAGCTAACCCATATCATATGCTTGTGGGTTTAGAGATGGCCACAATAAAGTAATCGACAATAAAGTTCGAATAATTTGTTCAGAATATTTCAAATCATCAGCAGGTGTACATATTATGTTGATGTAGGGCGCTGACTGCATGCAATAATGGAAACTTGTTCGAACAAACATACTTAATCTTTTTCCTTTGGACCCTATCTCATAATTAGTATAATTTAGCTATCATGAAGACTTTCACTCTGGCACAACCGTGCCGAGTCTTCCCTATTTTATAAAATATAAATTATGTTTCGATGCTTTTTAAGTTTCTAAACGTAATTTAAACAATTCAATAGACACATATAATTACAAAAATAAAAAATATAAAATATAAAATAGTATCTTAGGCCGTAACTAGAATTGTTGTTAATATTATATAACACATCAGCAGTAAATAGTACCTATTACTGTAAGTCTATAATTGTAATTATGAAAAGTTATTTCGAGACCCAAAACTAACTAAAACGAAGAACAAAATTTGTCATCGAGAACTAACAATATCAGATGCAATAAACTAGGTATGTAGTTAGTCTTTAATTACGGAATTATTTTACTGCTAGAATATAGTAAATCAATAAAAATTATGAGTCAAAATAATACTATCCACGTTTATAATGATCTTAATGTTAAAATAGTATGTAAAATAGGTTTCAATGATAAGTTATGTATATCAAAAATCATCCTATGAAAGTTGTGATTCATATCGTATGATTTTTTATGTCGATCTTCGTTTTTGCTGCCATATATGTGTTAAAGCAGGTGCCTCTCTAAAAAGAACGCATTAATTTTTCAAACGCCGGAGTGTCAGTGCAGATACCGACCGCGGATATGACATTTTAACGAAGAAATGCTATCTTTTGAGTGTTATGTCAAGAAATATATTATGAAAGTAGATATGAGAAATATATTATGAAAGTAAACATCATAACATCGCGAAAAAAGCATAAAGAATTACAAACTTAAGAAATTAAATTAGAATTGAATAAAATGAGTTCTTATTTTTTGCGAAAATCTATTATATATCATATGCAATTATATTGAGAGTAAAACAAAGCTTAACAAGAAAATTATATTTACCATTTCTATGCATTATGATTTTATTTTTATTATTTATATACTAGATGACCCGACAGACGTTGTCCTGTACTTATGTTTGCAATTCAAAAGTTTTAATTTTTTTTAATAACCTATACGATATTTACTAATTAGTTTACTAACTAGTTAAAAATTAATGTTTTTTTTTTACTACAGTCTATACCGCAATGTATATATATATATATACATCCACCCATATCAATCTTAAATAATGTACAACTGCTTTAAATAAAATGATGAATATTTGCTTTTTTGAAAAACGTTATTAAACATGTTTTTTTTATAATTAGTTCTTTTATTGATATCCGACGTTGTTTTGAAAAAAAAAAATTACACCACTAAGAGGGATGTCATCCCTCCGGGAAATGGCAAAGGAGTCTGAATTTTTTCACTTTTGAACTTGAGAGTAAGATAAACCTAATTTAAAAATTTCATACGAATAAAGGAGCACAGTAAAAAAATTCAGGCCCAAAATGCTCCATTGACTTGAGTAAATATTCCGTATCCGATGGCAAAAATATGAAAATACTAACGTTTGTATGTGAAAAAAGAGCTGTTTTTAGAATTTTCCCGGCAATTATCCGATTTTTTCTCGCCGTAAGAACCATCCTTGAACTTCAACAAACATTTTAAAAAAAGGGTTGGCCAAATTGGTCCAGGCGTTGTTGAGTTATTCGCTTACAAAAACATTTTGCGATTCATTTTTATATTATAGATGTATTTATTATATATTTATATATAATTAATTAATTATATATATATATATATATATTCCTTTTATATTTATTTATTCAAAATAATATTATGAAATATTTACCATGATTATCACTTATTTATATTGAAAACAAATTTCAAAATTATTAATTAATCACTGATGAAAGAAAAAAATGCATTAACAAACTTAAGTTAATAATCTCAATTCTTTCAAAAATAAAGTCGCACTTAAATAATTGAATAATATCAATAAATTCCATAATGCTACTTTTTCCACAATTCATAAAAATGATTAAATGGTTACTGATTATAAAAAGATGCAATAAATTACCATTAATCAAGCCTAAAATTGCTGTACACACAGATTAAAAATATGTATATATCGTAAAACAATTAAACTATAATCAGTTTCAATCAATTTTATAAACTCTATATATATTTTATCACCTCACATATTGTTTGCAGAACTAGTGTTATTGTCAGTGCATGTAAAAATATGTGAACATGATCAGTGTCAATGTTAGCCTACAAGAATGTGCATAAATTTTGCATAAGTGTTTTGTTTCAATAATTTTAAGTGATGTATAAGTACTTATTCTCTGTCTAAGATGAGTGATACTAATTTAACAAACATGTCGAATACAAGTGATATTTCAAATTCAACATCAATCCCCCACACGCCTAACGAATTTACCGTGGGTATGGCTGAAATAATAAACGATTATCTTGGGATGTACTACACCCCTGTGCTAGTGTGTTTGGGGTGTATTGGCAATGTTTTATCCGTGTTTGTTTTCTTTCGAACAAAATTGAGAAAACTAAGCTCGAGTTACTATTTGTCTGCATTGGCTATCAGTGATACGATTTTCCTGTTGTCGCTGCTGATCATGTGGCTGAATTTTTATGGGGTAAGTGGATCCAGATATATTTACTCATTTAAAATTGTATATAATAAATGATACTGATGATTATTTTAACCACAAGTATATTAATATCTATATATCAGCCGATGTGAGTAAATCTGACATTTTCCCTGAGTAAAAACACTGAAAATAAGTGAGAGATGAAACAAGTTCAATCAAAGAGAGATTTTTCAATCAAAATTTAATTAAAAAACTCGATAGAAATTATTTGTACTAATACCACATAATTTCAAGATAATTATAATTCAAACATGTAGGTATCCAATAATAGCGTCAACTCTTATTTTAAAAAAATAGTTTCGTACTATATATAGATTTTGTGATATTTTAATATTTTTTTTATCAAGTATTTTATCAATTTTCAAATATAGACTAGATATAATATAATCTAGTCTAATAATATAAGTGTTAGGTACAACCGCAAACTTAATTAAATTTCAATTACATGACATAATATATTGCTGATCAAAATAAAAATCAATCTAATATTGAAATCGGTTCAAATATTTCTTTGATTATAGAATTTTTTTATAAAAACGTGTGTGATTGTGACACAAGATAATTTACAAATTTATTGTAGAATGGAAAGCAATAATAACGTAAATAATATAATATTTCCACTATTTTTTAAATTATATTTAAAAAACATTATTGAGCAATGTTGGAATCATGTTTGAACGTTCTAAGAAAGGTAACATAAAAAACAAATATAAATAATGATTCATGCTTAAAAGTTTACCCAGTGCACGTATGTAATTGAATTAGCTATATTAAATTGAATATCATTTATAATCCAATAAAATCTTCATGAAATTATGAACCAGATGACAATAAAACCGGATAATGATTACAGATAAAACCAACATTTGCAATGCCAAGTTCAACGAAACATTTGGCTATCTAAAAAGTGTTATCGTTACGATTTCACAAGCGTGATTAATCATTTAAAATAATTTAATTCATTTTTGTACATAATAATTTACCAGAAGACTATGATACTCATTTAAAAGCACATTTGACAGCTTTGAAAATGATATTTCTAAAAAAAAAGTGGGGTTTCATAATTAAAATCTAGTATAATTGTACCATATTTCAAATTATGCTTATTTTATAGGTTAAATACGGTAACCTGTATACCTGTATAATATCATGTAAGATGCGTTTTGTCGTATTCCATATATTTAAAATGAAAATGAGAATATTTTCTATAAACCGACATGTCTTGAAGTGCTATGCGCCCGAATTGCAATTCTGATACATCCTTCGAGAAGAACGTGCCCCATATCCAAATGCAAGTAATGATATTTTTCCCCGAACGTGTTGGCGTTCTCGTTTTGCAAGAATCACAAAACGTGTTGCAAAAGTCAGATAATATTTTTATTTTATTTTATTTTTACGCTCAATATTTGTTCTCTTCGCAAATCTACGGATATGTGAAATATGAATAAATCACAGCCGAAAGTTAAGGTTCAACTTTTACTTTTTACTGAACCAATAGAACTATCCCTATGCTATTAACCTAATGTGTATTCTGAATATTCGTAATTGATCATTATAAGCCAAATCATTTATATCACTTTTTTCTAGCTTTTCAATATACGGGCACTATTAATCGTTGTGGCGATTGGTTCGTAGTTCTTCTTTTGAAACATGATGTTTTTGGCTAATTATGGTAATCAGCAGTCGCCGTTTTTGCAATAAAAAATTGAAGGTAATTTATGTTGTACATGATTATTCAAATCAACCTACAATCAGTTTTCAGCAACATCACACAAAGTAAGCAGAGCTCAGAGAAATCTAGTTGGATTATAACTTCTCAAATTTAAAAAATGCAATAGTGTCAACGTTAACTTTGAAAATTCGGAACCTTCTATATTCAGTGATATTTTGAACAAATATATCAATTTTCACACACTAAAAATGTTAAAGAAGTTCAATTTATTCAATAGAATAAATATCCCACTTTTATTTCCGTAACAATCTATACTTCCATCAATAAGGAGACAATTTATCATGATATATTTAAGTTTAAATATAATAAAAAGTTATGTCTTTAATAGAATTTTACAAACTTTGAACGTTCCGAGAGTTTCTAGCAATAAATCGCGTTTATGTCTTTGTAATAAAATAAGAAAGCCAATTATAAACTCATTCCACATTAAAATCACAAAATTTCATTTCCACTTAGTTTCATGCGGAATCCATAAAGTTCTTAAAAGTTTAAAAATAAAGAAAATTGATGGTATTATATTTCAATTTTATGTTTATTTTAAAATTATTTCTGTAGTATTCGAAAAATTATGATTTCAAAATAAATGAATGGTGATGAATGCGATGAAAATTGTAATGATTGTTTTTTTTGTACTTTTTTGCAGAAGCTTTTGAACAGCTATTGCTCTTAAAATTTGACGATTAAATATAGTCTACCTTAATAGATGAACATGATAAATCAAATACAATGCTCTACAAATGCGACATTGAGACTACATCAAATTAGTTTTGGAAACTTTTCCATTTAATAAAATGGTTTTCCCTTTCTCTGATGAAGCAATAAATACAAAATTCATTACCGTACTCTGATCACGAGTTTTCATTATCGGAAAACGTGAGCCATGAGTGCCGTCTGTATACACAAATTACATTATAGTATAGGGTTTGGTGAATATCTAAAAATAAAAATTCTTACGACATCTTAATTCAAAGTCAAAGCACATGCATATGGAGTAAAGAAATAAAAGCCATCAATTCGTTGAAAATTAAAAAAACTAATAATTATTCTTCACGTGTTGATACTAAATTTGTATCATCATTCAATAAATGTAAAATAATTACAAGCAAAATGAAACAAATGATGCATAAAAAAATGAGAAAGTGAACGCTATTCAAAATAAATCCAACAGAGCGCATTAAATAATGGTATCAATTAAATGGCAATTAGTAAGAAACTTATATTGCAATTACACAAGTGCATATACGTATGTAGATATGTACATGAACAAATAAAAATATTTTGCATTACAATAACTTACTTTCAAAAAACTGTATTTTTTTTATTTGCATTTTAAATTCCTTTTATAAACCTATATCACATTATCATGTTAAAAAAAATGCATTTAGACAATTCATTTACTTTTTCGACTAAAAAGTCATCAAATAGAAGTATGCAACAAAGTATATCCCAGCTCTAATTCTATCACCGACAGGTTATCGCTTTTAGGAAAATCACAAATAGATTGCTGAGGAGCGTTTTTAACTTAAGTCAATATTTACATACTAAAATAAAAGATTCAGGAGATTGTAAAAATACACGAGTGTATTAACCTATATTTGTAATCAGCTTATTTGAGATCGATAAATAAAATTGTTAGGAGAGAGTTAATAATAATCATATAAAAGATAATCAAGAAACAAAATATAAGAAAGTTGAAAAAAATCAACTATATTCCTCAAATGATAAATGATTGTTGAAGCAGTGAAAATCACAAGAAGTAATGACTCTATACGCACTACCGCAGAAACAGAGGTTTCACAGCATAATTAATATTGAATCAATAAATATTATTATTATTGTTATATATTATTAATATATTGTATATATTATTATGAATTTGATTCAATATAGATACTTGAGAAAATATTTTAACAAAATCACGCAAATAATGAAATTAAATAAATTGACAATTATCGACATTAACTCACAAAAAATTAGTCATATCAATCGTATAAATAAGCCCTTCGACATATAAGTTTCCAAACATTTTATATTTATGCATATTAAGTATCATACCGGTTTACAGAGTTGAAACCTATAATTCTAATTTATATATTTTAACTAACTTTCAGATTGAAGATAAAACTCGTTATTCTAGTTCAATAACTAACCTTGTAGTTTAGTTCAATAATTGAGTTCAAGCATGTTTACCATTTAATACTATATATTAAATTGCAATTGAAAAGTCGTTCAAGAAATGTTTCATAATAAGAGACTTGTTGACAGTTTACTTCCAACGCAGATTCAAAAGTTTCTTGAGTATTTTTCTTCTCTTCAATTTCAATTTAAAACAAAACAGTTGTTATCTTTCGTCTTTTGCATTTTTCTTATGCCAAGTACGAGAAATATATGATGTAAGAATAAACATTTTTATTACTTCCAAATAAACCTGGAAGTTGACATTTTTCGCCTTTTGAAGAATTTCAGCTTACCAATCTGTGGCATATGCCATATGCCAATGTTTGTAAAGCATATGGAAATCAAAGTATACAGCGCGACACTTTCTAGACAAATCAAATATTACATGTATATATATATATATATATATATATAAACATATTTATATATATATATGAGAATGGTCCCTAATATGGACATTTTCGAATTTCCTTACTCCCAAGGGCTCAAACTGTTCTAAATTGATAAAAAACAATTCTCTGAGTTTTAGCTCCTAATGTTGTGTTTTAGATAGAGCGCAATTCAATGAAAGTTTTGTATAGAAATAGCATGAAAAAATATTCAAACATTTTGCAAAGCGTCGAATTTTCAATAAAAAATGACACTTTCACTTCTAATTCATTTGTCGCTAAGTTATACCTAATTTTTTTTTTTAATTTTAAATTTTTTTTCATGCTATTCCCATTCGAAGTTTGATTGAATTGCGCTCTGTCTAAAAGTTAATATTGAGAGCTAAAACTTTCAGAGAATTATTTTTTATCAATTTGGAACTTTTTGGGCCCTTGGGAGCAAGAAAATTCGAAAATGTCCATATTAAAGACAACCCTAATATACAATATTATATATATACATATATATAATATTGTATGTAAATAGGCATAGAAAGTAAAATTAATTTAATTTAAAATATATATTTTTTATAAATTTTAGTAAAAAATATTTTTAGGTTTTCACAAAGTTTAAAACAATTATGTAATTTAAAAATCTTTTCAAATCGTTTAGTAACTTTCATAAATTATAAATCAAAGTTTCAATATAATTTATAAAAATATTAAATTTAATTCAAACTGCGTGCAATTTTCCTTAATAATTAAGCATAAACCACGCACATGAATAAGTAAAATGAACTCTAAATAAACAAATAAATTAAAACTTGTCTTTTATCTTTCTAGATTCGTATATCAAATGAGCCTGGAATGTGTCAACTGCTAGTGTACGCTTCGGGCGCCAGCAGTTGCATGAGTGTGTGGTCCGTCGTGGCTTTTACGGTGGAGCGATTCGTAGCCGTTCTCTATCCGCTGAGGAGACAGGCCGTCTGCACTGTGGCGAGGGCTAGGGCAGTGTTGTGCGGACTTATAGCACTAGCATTGCTCCACAGTGCCCCATTACTTCTTTTCTCACAACCGATATATAAGAAAGAGTTGAACGCAACTATATGCGATGTAGCGGAAGAGTAAGTGAAATTTTTCCTAAGCGTCTTATTAGGGCAGATATTGACGGTAAAATACATTGTTAATTCCATAATTCCATATTTAATTCCATTCATCATCATTCGATCATGATAGATAAATTATTGAATTATATCTTAATCAATGTTGTTTGTATTATCTTCGAATATGATTAAAAAAAAGCAATCCCCTTTGAAATTTTAAAATAAATAAGAAATTCTATACTGTATATAGTTACCCAGTTAATGTTTAATAAATTTTAAACAAAGTGAATCGAGAATATGTCTGAAGAGTGATTAATGAAAATTTTTACATATCTTTACGTTTCAGAGGTTTCTGAATATTTTGGCATACCTTAGAAAAAATGGATGGATGTATGTGTGTGCGTGTGTATGTGTGTTCGGATACAAATTTTCGTCGACGATTTCGAGAACACGGATGAAGCGATTTGAATAATTCAAAAAAAACATTCGATTTGTATTGATAAGGAGACGCGCTGATTAGTTTTTGGCGAAGGCATATCTAGTCGTTCCGAAGATATGGGGCAAAAAGTGCCAAAAACGGTAACTCAGTTTTTAAGAGAACGGAGCGTCCGATTTGAATAATTCAAAAAACATTTTACTTGCATTAACAAGATGAAGAACTGATTTTCATGAAGGCAGGTCTAGCGGTTTCGGAGATCTAGCAAAAAAGTAAAAAAAAATCCATCTGGCGGTCAAAAATGATCATTAGACATATGCATATCAAATTATCAGATATTTTATAGAGATTTTAACAATAAGTATAAATTTTGTTTACATTCCTATGGGTTCCGTACCAATGCTTATACGTTAGACGGCAGAGCGGCGCTTACGCGCTTCGATAATTCGTCTCTATGCATTTAAAGCAGTATGATTGCTTTGAAAAAAAATTCATAATTTCCACTTCAGTGTATTTTGAAATACTTTCAGTATTTCAAAATACACTTTTCTTCAAGTCTTTTTTTTTTCAAAAAAAAGTAAATTTTTGTAAAAAATTTATAGTTTCTCAAAAATCTAATTTTTCAGAGTATTTTTTTTTTTCAAAAATGTTAATCTTTTAACGCTTCCCACTAGATTTACCCACTCCAAAGCATGACACATATAAATGATCCTAGCATCCTAATCTGAAATTGATTTCATTTAATTTTGGTATTGATAATTTATTACCGCCTTTTTCTTCAATTCATTATTTTTTAATGACGAATCAAAATCCAATCAATCATTTTTGAAATATCTGTGACATAGCTAGCTAATCGAGTGAGACTTTAAAAACACTGTAAAAAACTTTTCAGCTTTTTCATAGATTATTGTAGTACTAGTTCACACTCAAAAACTGACTTCACATCATCTCCAGATTTTAATATTCAATCTTCACATTTGTTACTGAATTACTGAACAAAATTATCTCTGATAATATTGTGTATTATTTAATTAATATATTATATTGCCCATCTAAACTCGCATTGTTATACAGAACAATGTATTATTGTAAATCCTTCCTGTTATAATAGCAGTAATGCAGTAAATCTGTGACATAATGGATTATTAAGCATTGTCTAGTGTTAACTAAAACAGAACACGAATTTAGCATAAATCCTCAAACACCTACTGAAATCGTCTATTGATCACAAGAGCTACCGTGACTTTATGACAAGCTTAACAAACACAATTATATCCTCTTATCACGCACCGCGTGTTAACTAAATCTATTCGCAAGCAAATGTTTTATTCCAGATTAGATTAATATACGACTAAATAAAACGAGATAGAACCGTAGGTGTATTAAGGGATTAAGATAACGGATATGATTGAATTTTGTTTAAAGACAAGAATTAAATATTATAATTTATGTGGCGTTATAAATATTCAATACACGTGAAAATTACAGACGGATTTTAATATATAAAAGATATAGATGACTATGCAAACTTAATTACCATGTAAACTGAACAGAATACTCATTGGTATTCGAAAGCATTGAAATCCGCTGGCTACGATAATCCATTAATAAAATAAACAAACCTATTTCATAAAAAATACACATAAAAATTCTCAGTTGTGATGCAAAAGTTGCCTTATTCCATCCGATGGTGCCTGATTCTTACAGAGTGTTCTTGGCTTATGCATGAAAGCTCTTTCTAAAGTCTCTTTATAAGGTTACCTTAGTATTCCTCAATCCACCAATGCGCAATTCAGCTACCCCTGGCTTTAATTAAATTTTAATTTGAATTTCGTAACGTTATTTCATTTTAATATGACAATAAACACAATGAAATATAGATTCGTTATTAAGTTTTTAATTTATTCATTACTATTCACATAAGTATACATAATTAGTAACAAAGCGACAAAAATGTGAATAATTTATTTATTTACATACAATTTATTTACAATAAACACAATGAAATATAGATTCGTTATTAAGTTTTTAATTTATTCATTACTATTCACATAAATATACATAATTAGTAACAAAGCGACAAAAATGTGAATAATTTATATATTATATATTTATATTTTTATTTTTATATATTATTAACTTCCCGTAGGGCAAGATATAGTAATCGCAAAAAAATCGAAAATGAAATTTTTTATATATTTTTACGTTTCAAAGATTTCTGAATATTTTGGCATACCTTGTGTATGTGTGTGCGGATACAAATTTTCGTCGACGATTTCGGGAACACCGATCAACCGATTTGAATAATTCAAGAAACATTGGATTCGTATTGATAAGGAGACGTGCTGATTAGTGTTTGGCGAAGGCAGGTCTAGCTGTTCCGAAGATACGGGGCAAAAAGTGCCAAAAATGGTAACTCAGTTTTTAAGAGAACGGAGCGCCCGATTTTAATAATTCAAGAAACATTTTGCTTGTATTGACAATATGAAGTATTGGTCAGATTTTCATGAAGGCAGGTCTATCGGTTTCGGAGATCTAATGAAAAAGTAAAAAAAGAATGCCATTTGGCGGTCAAAAATGATCATTAGACATACGCACATCAAATTATTAGATATATTATAGAGATTTAAACAATAAGTATAAATTTTGTTTACATTTCTATGGGTTCCGTACCAATGCTTATCCGTTAGACAGCGGCGCGGCACTTACGCGCTTTGACATTTTGTCTCTATGCAGTTAAAGTAGTAGAAGTTTCAAAAAAAAAGTAATTTATTGTAAAATTTATAGTTTCTCAAAATTTCGTTTTTTAAAAATATAATAATTTTTGGTACGGAAAATTCCAGCAATTTGCCTTAAGGCACGATGCCATGCGCCCAAGTAGTTATATAATTATGACAATTGCATAAAATTCCGAATGGTATATTACATTATCCCGACAAGTGCTACTTTGAGCGAGATCGGTATGTAGAAATGAAATGTAAATATATATTTTGTGTCGGACTTCCGAGTCAAGTACCAATTTTCCAATAGTATATTTTCGCAATCAAATTAATATTTGCTTTCTATCAAAATTTTCAATTTATTAATATCAACCGTAACCATTACCAAGCTGTTAACACAATATACTGGCAATTATTTAAGTTATAGTTATAGGTAAGATGCACAGTCAAACAGTTTTAAAGGAATACTTTAATAAATTGAGAAATATTTTATAAAATTTCACTATTTGGTACTATTTACTTAATGATTAATACAGAATATTAGACATAAAATAAATTATGTACAAGCAGAACCTACTGAATGTATTTAACAAAAACACAAAGAAGTAACGCATCTACTATAATATATTTTAATTTAAAAAAATATGTAAAACATTATATTTTAAATGTCTCTATATTGTGAATACTAAAAAAACATTATTTTGAAACACCCATTTAATAAAAATCCACTGGATTATAATTCAATTTTTTTTTTAATTTATTTCCACCCTTTGATCTCGTATCATAAAAATACCATTTCAATAAAATATCATAAATAATTTAGACAAAGTTTCTATTCGGACATCAAAGTTTTTAATATGACAATACAAAATGTCACACAGATAATTAAAATCGAAAATACGACTGAATAGAAAAAAGTAATTATTCCTGTCAAATACAGCACAGCAGTCCTATTAAAACGAATTTGCAGAAAAGCGAAACTAGTACAATTTCAGTTTCAATATAGAGTTTTCATGCGAATAAATGTACTTTATATTATTCATTTGCAAAGAATCTCTTTGACAATGAACAGTCAAATATTCTTTTAAATTTTATGAAGCGTTATATTAGATTAGATATTCTAATATTAAAAAGCGATGAAACATTCAACTTAGAGCAGTCGTGCGCAAACTCAAAGAAAATATCTTCCGATTTATTCAAAGGTATCAAGAAGCCTAAACTCTTGTATTCTTCAACTTTGGATTGAAAAGTTTTTGCAACGCAAGGGAGTAAAAATAAAAGATTCATCTTTTGGGACGAAGGAAGGTAAATTGAATATTCGATTAACGTGTAAGAAAAAGGTTTTGAGGCATACATTTATATAATGAAATAAGCGCTCTCGAAATGTTATGAAATTTCATTTTAATATATACTTGTATAAGCGCATTTTGTGTGTTTATATCGCTCTACATACGAGGTGTGTTCAAAAAGTACCCGGAATTACTAATAATTAAATTTCGCGGGTCTGGAGTGTCTGATTGTCAAAATTTTTTTTTTATTGTGTTGGTATACATGCCCCTAAAGTATGATGAAATTTTCAGCTATATTCACTGTTTACTTTGTCTGTGGTAGTCGCTAAGGTTCGACGTGTTTTTCTGAGCTCGGCGATTTTTACAATGGAAGAATTGAAAAGTCAAAGAATTTGTATTAAATTTTCCGTAAAAAGTGAAATAAAGTGTTGCAAAGTGCAAAAATTCACCAGATATGGCTCCGTGTGACTTTTTCCTATTCCCAAAGTTGAAGAGACCCATGAAAGGACGGCGGTTTTCCTCGATTGAAGAAAATCGCTGAGAGTGCTCAAGGACATATCAAAAAGTGAATATCAAGGGTGCTTCGAAAATTGGAAAAAACGCTGGCATAAGTGTATTATATCTGGGGGGGACTACTTTAAAGGGGACCACATTAATGTAGACGAATAAATAAATATTTTTTTGAAAAAACGAAAATTCCGGGTACTTTTTGAACAGACCTCGTATATCGCAAAATGAAATGTGATATCAGCGATAATGATTAGAATATCGTATCTGAAAGCAAAATGTTGAATTTTATGTAAAGGGTAATAATGTTGTATTTGGTTATTTGATCTTAGTAGCATTTTCAAAATAATAAGCAATAAATACATGCACGGTTCTTTAAAACTGGTGCTACCAGTTTGGTAATGCTATTGTGAAAATGTTATTTTTGATTTTGTCACAATTAATCAATGCAGTAGACGAAATTTGGATTTAGAACTAGATAGTCCTTCAGACAGTACATGTTCATGAAAGGACGTTAGTTATTGCAATATACATGGAAAACAGAAATCTGTATATGGCATTGATTTGAATAGTGAGGCAGATTGCACTAACAGTTCCGGTGTGCAATTATAACTAATACGAAATGTCATCAGACATAATCTGATTTCGAAACTTTGGCGAGTATATAATTCAAAATGAGCTAAATATTTGTAACAAGTTATAAAATAATGATATAAAAGATACGAAAAAATATCATCTACATGATGACGATTTCTGCAAAAAGCACCAAGACTGGGATTACCAAAACAACGTTTACTTGAAAAGAACAATTCTAATTATTAAACAACATTGGGTACCGACGACATACTACGTTTACAGATTCGCTTGTTATCCGGAAAAGAAACAAACGATGTCGTAAAAGAAATAAAAGCCATTTATGACGATACAAAATCAGATTAACTAAATTTTTACAAGATACTGACAACTGCAATCTACAAAGTAATGTTTGAAAACATAGGATATAATAAATAAAGTTTAATTTAGATTTTTCATTGAATGAGTTTCACTCAAAGACATGAAAAACTAACAAAGTAAATTCTAAAACGTTTCCTGATTGTATGAGAAAACTCAATGCAATGCAATTAGGTATTTACTTCGTCTGATTTTCTTTGTCTTTCTAAGTTCTATATTGATTATTTGAACAGTGAATACGTATGATTGTATTATACTACAAATGCAAGTTTTATTATTTCTTTCAATCAGATTTTTGCAAACATGCCAACTTTGCAATCTGATATCTCAGGATATATATATATATATATATATATATATGTTTTTAAATTTCAACTTTTATTAAAACTTATGGCGAAAAATATCGACCATCAATTTCCGAATTTGATCCTAAGCTTTTGTTTTAATTGAATTTTTTTTTTCGGCGAATTGTCCATTGTACAAAAATCATAGATCTTATAATACAGGTGAAATATTTATGACAAAAATACATTATAATCATATTTATCAGTTCATTCCCATGAGGCTGTTATTAAAGAATCAAAAAAATGTATTTAATGATTCAATTGGATCAATTTGGATAATGTAAATACATAGCACTTTAATCTTCGTAAATTATGCACTTTAGTATTCAATCAAACGCAATATCTAAATTTGAATAAATTAATATTCTGTAATAATAGAGTATATATACGCTTATTAAACATTTTCATAAAAATATCTTGCTTCACATTAAAACACTTAAGAGATTATGCATAAATTCTATTGCTTTCTTTTCTAATATACAAACGTGGTATCACTTCATCTCCTTTGGTAAATAATGAAATTTACATATTTAAAAACTGAATACATAACTGGCAATGTATAGTTTCCATTTTCATTGAAACTTTGCATTTCTTTTCAAAACTCAGATTTTTTAAAGTGTCCAGCATGCAATAATAGTAATTTGTGCAAACATCATCAAACTAAATTACAAAAACAAATCTTTTTCAGTTATCGCGAAGCCGCCAGCGTATTTAATACTCTCGACACTGTAGTGGCATTCCTGGTGCCACTTACTATAATAGTGGTACTAAATTCCTGCACCGCTTGTGCAGTGTGGAGATTAGCGGGTATCAGGCGCTCCATGACAGTTACGGGCAGGTAAGATAAAAGTTATTTCAAAATTTGCATATTATATATTAATTTTTCGAGAGACAGATAAGTTTACGTTATAAGATGAAATAAAATATTTTTTTGAAGAGTAGAAGAATAGCCTCTACTATAGGTCGCCTCCAAAATCAGATTCGAATAAATTAATTAGCTAAACATTGTTTCACATCATATACTTTTCCATACTCATTTTAGTCATGTACCTGTCATTATTTAGTCATGTGGGGTACAGATATATCTTCTAACTCAATTTTCTTTCATACATTGCAGTTTTACTGCATTACGACCACTCGTTCAACCTACGCTTAATATTTATTTATATCCTCCTGAACTTTAAATTTAATGAAAATGGAAATTGCTTCGCATTTAATCAAAATCTCAACAACACTCGATTATAAATAATACGCTGGAATAACCAAAACAACAAGACTATTTCAAAATAGTATTTACATATCATTTCGTTACTTAGAATATGGAAACATAAGGATTGATTGAACTTTGGGAAAAAATGTAATAATTGTAGATATTGTATTTTAACTACAATATAGTTAAAAATGCTTCGATGTTTCATATGCACAGTAAAGTAGGCCATGCCAGTAAGGTGGAATCATGTTTTAACTTGTGTCTACCAATCTTTTTATTTATCACTATTAATTAAATTTAATTAATTTATTTGATTTAATATCAATTAACTGAGAATTTCGAATTTTAATGATAATAAAATAATATGCTTTAAATAATATCACGTAGTAAGTTTTGTAGACAAAATTTAAACTTATTCTGCTACAAAATAACTTTACACGAATGAAATAAAATCATTATAATTAGCGACAAAATGAGATAGAATCCCCCAAAAATATATCATATTAAGCAAATCTTCTCATAAAATCTATGGCATGATATTCCAAAAACAATCTACTTTGTTCCTCGTGTTAAAAATATGCCTGCCAAAATTTAATGCGAGTATTATTTTAAATCTCTGTGTCTTTAGAAAAAATCTTTTTGCATCTCGAGTTCCATTCAACCACAGCATAAATCACTCTTGTTTTTTGCCAAGAGTTCCCGTTTAGGTAAGGTAGCTGTCGAGAGCAATCGTATTCTTCGGAACAGCACTTGAAATAATACGAGGACTAGTGAAATGAATAAGTTTTTTCCAATCAAATTTATCAATCACAACTTCTTATTAGTAATTTGTTTTTGTTAAGTTCCTTGTTTTACTTTAAAGTAAAATTGCTGAAACTTTCCAGTTTGGAATTACTAATTTAAAGATTTAGTAAAAATGCGAACAATCTATGATGATTATAACACTAGATGTTTCAGAAGTTTCTATGATCATTATAGAATACTCATCATAAGAAGTAAATAATAGTATTTTACCTGAAACTCAATGTCGTACTGCAAATGATATCGGATCAATCAAATGCCACAGAAAGCATAGTAAAATCTATAAATATTTTGGCAGTAATTGTAAAGAATCATATATATATATATATATATATATATAATGTCACATTTTTCAACGCAACTATTTTTTCATTTTTTCGAAATATGCAACTATTTAAATACCTCCAAATGCCTTCACGAACAACTCTTCGTAATCTGTCTTTTTCACGTTATTTACATTTATTAAAGGTTCAAATATTCCAAACATTTTTCCAGCTCTTTCATTATAAGAAAACAATAACAGAGAGATGAGAGAGATTGTAGTGATAAGAGTAACGAGCGCTTCAGTACCCTCAGCAAGAGATTTACGTAAAAATGGCTGAGATACAAAAACATAAATGTACGTCTTTCAAAACATAAATGTAATTATGAAATGATTATAATACTTAAATGGAAAACATTCCATTCTGAGCAGCATAATACCAAAACTCTTTGGGGAGGATCATATTTATTGTATTAACACACCAGCAATGTCAAGAAACGGTAACAACTCAAAAATTATTCTTTCTGCAGAGCAAATTTATATATTATATATAATTTCAGAAATTGTTGTAAATATTTAATTTTAAAACTCATTAGGAGCACACAATTTATATTAATTTATATATTAGGAAATAAAGAAATTTTTTGTCGAAAACATACAATATATATATATATATATATATATATATATATATAAATATATAATTTACAGACAATTACAGCATATAGGGCTTTACCAGCGTTCATACAAAAGTAATGAAAAAGAATTTTAATTAGATCAGGATTACCAGCATATATTTGTATGTGTGCGTGTGTGTTTGTGTGTCTACACCTCCTACTAAAAGATTGCTTTTTATTTGATAAATGAAGTAAAATATTCAGATAAAATGTTATATGTTGCTTTATTGGATTCTTTTGAATAATTTGAAAAAATGCAATTTTAAATTCATAAACAGAAAGCTAAAACACGGATTTCTCGACCTTTCTTTTCTGAGACAAAGTGCATATTATTTCGAAGTTTCGTGACGCAAGAAGCTTCATGTTATCCATAATCAGTATTCCATATGTTACTTTAAAACTGTAACTACTTTATACTGATTACATTCTACACAACGCAAGTATGGAGGAATATATAATTTCAAAAGTTTATTCGATTTTGAAACTAAATATAGTTGACCTAATTTGTTTTGAAACTATTTATTTTATGCAATAAAATAAGCATTTGCAACTGATGAATCATTTTGGAAATTAATTAATAAATCTATTATCCATATAAATATAAAATAAATTATATTGGAGTTTGAGCACCTCGTTTCTTAGTAAGTTATTTCATTAGACAAAAGAATGCCCTTTCAAGTAAAAAATTAATATAATAATAATTCTATTATCTATAATAATAATTTTAATAAAATATTTTTCTATAATAATAATATAAAGTAATAATTTCAAATTTACTACCAATATTAATAAAAAACAAAAGCACACATACTAGACAAGTCCATCAGGTATGAATATTTTTTGTCTGTTGGTTAAAGAAAACTATAGTATAATAGTATAATAGTATAGTAAATATATACTCTGTTAAAACAACTCTCTGAACCATTCGTATACAAATGAAATTTGCGAATCCAAATTTTTTTATCACCAGCACAAATTTTCCTGTTTTTTGCAAATACGCAACATAACATTCAAACGAGTCACACAAAAACCAAATTATCTGAATTAGCGAAACATTTAATGAACTCGATATTTACTTCATAACTTACAAAAATATTTCAACAAAAATAAGGGAATTTATGATTAATTAGACGATGTAGGTAGAAGGTCACAAGATTGCGGCAGGTATTTTAATTTTTGTCGCAACCTTTGAATTTCAATTTTATTCCGGAGTATTAATTAAAAATTGTAAGAATGGTATTCAAAAAATTCGATAATTTGAATACGAAAAGGTTTTTAATTTATGCACTTTAATTAAGACGTGGAATGACTTGATAAAAGAGTTGATTATTAATCAAAATTTATACTCATCCGGAATTATTAAGTTACGACAACGAATCGAGTAAATGGCTAAATATTTTTAGGAAAATCACAAAACTTTTATTATAAAATAGTATTGATATAAGGAAAAATTCAAATAATAATTATGTTTACAATTACAATTAATTTACAATTAGTATGTAGTACTTAGTTTTAAACAATTCGAAAAATTAATTTTGCAGATTTAAAAATTAACCAACATATGATATGTATTCATTGTAAATGGTTTTGTTACATTTTCGTAAAAGCATCTATAAATTCACTTCATAGAAAACTGATGAAACATATGAGTGGGTTTAAATCATCAATATTTAATTTTTTTATGCTTATTCTCCAAATTGTTCATATCCACTTGAGGTGACAAAATTGTATATCAAAATGTGTCAAACAATAATGACTCATTAAAATCTTTTCAGTTTTTACTTTACCCGTCTTGCAATTTCAATTTTGATTTACCAGATTTTGAGTTTTAAATTAACAGGTTGTTTTCAAAACCCAAAAGCAATCGTAATATAAATTAGAAAATATCCTCTGTTCATATATCATCATATTAAAATGACTTGAGTTTTTTCATTTAAAATTTAATAAATTCATTTTCATTTCATTTAAAATTTCAATTTAAAAATATATCAACAAGCAACCGCAAATATTATATGATAATTATATAAAATTGATAAAACTGTTTGAAAAATATGAAATATTTTAAAAAGCAACGAATGTACATATTGCCTTTACTAAATCAATATCATTCAATGAACCGTCATCAGGTATTAAATGTCAGCTCATAAAAGAAACAATATTTTAGTTCGGTTGACACAAATCTCATATTAAGGTGTTCGGGTCGGCTATTCCGGTGATAAAATAAGACTCATCAGTCATATGGCAAAATGTTGGTACGGATAAGTAAAAGCTCAAAGCCATAAAATGCTTACGGCACCGGAATAAATGATTATCTTTACAGTAACATAAGCTTTGCCTGAAGTCAAATACTCTTGTTCATTTATATCGAAATATACATATATTGTTTATTTGAATAGTAAAGTATGTTAATGGGTATTATTAAATATTAAAGTTCTGCAAAAATGCTAAGCATGTAGTCCAGTCATTATAGTAAGTTCACCTCGGAATTCGAGATACCCGGCTGTAAATAAGTAATTAAGTCTGTGAAAACTTGTGTATTAACACCCTAAAGTTGTCTCAAAACCTACATATGGTATTGACACCCAACCATATGTAGGTTTTGAGACAACTTTAGGGTGTCAATATACAAGTATTAACCGACTTACAGCTGGGTATCTCAAATTACGAGATTCTTACCTAATTTAAGCTTAAATGACTGACTAATGTTCAAATTATTTATTTTATAAATTATATATTTTTATATAAAAAACATATTTATCTAAAGATGAATTACTCTTCCTTAACATAGTTTGATAGTTGTTTTTTTGATACATTTTATTTGTTATGCTGTTAGTTTGGTTACCATAGTATAATTGCTAGAAGTCAAACTGGACCTTTGTGCCTTACCC